AGATTGTTCTATATACTGTTCCAATAGACAATTCTATGAGGAAATACTTTAAAAATTAAATGAGAGGCAGGAGAAATAGTTTAGGGGTTAGAGGTGACCTCTTACACGTACAAGGCCCAAAATTCAATACCTTGTTTGGCACATTGTTTGGAGGTCCTTTAAAATTCAGTATTATATGCAGATGCAAATTCTCTTAAAAACGTACATCATCATAGTACCTAATCATGAGAGTATAAACCTGCCTCAAGGCTTTTTGTTTGTTTGTTTGTTTGTTTTTGCTTTTGGGATCACACCCAGCGATGCACAGGGGTTACTCCTGGCTCTGCACTCAGGCATTACTCCTGGTGGTGCTGGGTGACCATATGGGATGCTGGGAATCAATGCCGGGTTGGCCACATGCAAGACAAACACCCTACCCACTGTGCTATCACTCCAGCCCCGCTTCAAGGCTTTTGAATATAAAATGAAAGTAATACAATATAGGTCACTCAAAATAAAAGCACTAGGGCCAGAACAGTACAGCAGGTAGGGCATGTTTGCCTTGCACATGGCCAACCTAGGTTCAATCCCCGGCATCCCATATGGTCCTCCAAGCACAGCCAGGAGTAATTACTGAGTGCAGAGCCAGGAGTAACCCCTGAACATAAAAGAAAAAAAATATATATATATAAGCACTAATTGGTGTTTTCAATTTTATGGTTAAAAATGATGAATAAACATCAAATTGTATACCAAGAAAAAACATAATGCCTTTGATTCAGTCTATTGTTTTTTGTTTTTGGATTTAGCTTTTGGACCATAACCAGTTATGCTCAGGGCCTAATCCTGGCTGTCTCTCTATTCAGGAATCACTCCTGGGCAGTGCTCAGGAGACAGTATGCAGTGCCAAGTATCAAAAACAGGTCATACAAAGCATGTACCTTACCTGCTTTACTATTTCTCTGGCCCCTTAGTTCAATCTTATGAAAGGATTCCTCTTAACGTGATTAAAAAAATCAGGGACTGGAGAGATAGTACATTGAGTAGGGCATTTGCGTTGCATGCGGCCAGTCTAGTTTGATCTCAGGCAGCCCATATGGTCACCTGAGCACCGCCAACAGTAATTCCTGAGCATCATGAAGAGTGGCCCCAAAACAAACAAACAAAAAATTCAAAAATTGTAAAACATATCTTTAAAAAGGTTTCCAAGACACTATTTCAATATGAAAATTGTATATTAACAAAAATTATTCACTAAAATACATGCACATACACATCTTCATTCCTGTCAGCACTCATAAGGTCACTAAAGGAAAGTAATAAAATAGCCAACAGTTCAACAGTATTACCATAAATAACAGGACATCAGTATTAATTTAAATTATTCCTCTAAAGATGAATTATAAGTAAATATAATTCAATTATGCGATCAGTATCAATCCAATGGAAATAAATACACAGATCAAACTTCAAAAACAATAACCATGACTTCGTAATTCTCCCATCATCAAGTAAAATTTTAAAAATTCATTTATATTTTGTTTTGAATGTCAAATTCAAAAACTTTACAATTAAACACAAGCTCAAGCTGAGAAATATTTTATGTACTGACCTATACCTTAAAAGTTCTTCAGATTTGGATGTCAATTCCTGATTGCTTTAACAACAACAGAAACCTCCTAGGTTATTTCAAATCATAAGTAAAACACTAATCAAATTTAATAAAGAAAAAAATGGAGAATTTCTAGAAAATGCAATAACAGTAATAATGTAATAATGTAGTCTTGCAGATATCATACATATCGCTCTTAGTAACAATAATCAAGTTAAGTAGTACAAAAAAAACTCAGGCAAATGTACAAATGTACAAGGTTTTATTTTAAACGTGCAGTTTATATGTCTATGCAACCCCAATTCAGTGTTTTGATATTCTTGTAAATAGGCTTCACCTCTTCATTATGTTTTAAATATTTGGGAACTCTTTCCTATTCATACCCAAGAATATCTTAGGTTTGAAGTGCTGCTATACAACATGATCTAATGAACCTACTTATTAATGCTATACTATGCTACTTATTAATATTCTGTTCTAAATTTCAGGCCAAAAATATACCTACATGAAGACTATAAATTCATTGTTCTAATAGTACTTTTAAAATTTCTAGACAAAAACAAATCCATATCTAAGTCAGAGCAATAGTACATTGAGTAGAGTGTTTGCCTTGTATGCAGCCAACCTGTGTTTGATCTCCAGCACCCCATAAGGTCCCCTGATCACTGCCAGGACGGATCCCTGAGCTCAGAGCCAGGTCTAAGCACTGAACACTACTCAGTGTGGCCCAAAAAACAAAAGATAAGAAAAAAAAAAGATGAAAAGAAGAGAAAAGAAGAGTACAACTCTCCTATATGAAGGCACTCAAAATGTGAGTCAGATGTGAAATAATTTTAATCTAGTATAGATATCTAAAGGATATCTAGCAATAAATCTAATATTTCAGACTCTGTTATTAACCATTATGCTTCTTTTCCTTCTGTTTAGATTCTGACTCAGGCCTACCGTGTCTTACCTTACAAAGAAATATAAAGGTTAAAAACAGGTATTTGATTTTAAAAAGCACCATACTATCAAAATTCAATAACTAGAAAAACAGAATTATAATACAGGAAAATGAAAATTTAAGTCACAATACAAAAGTTAATTATGAAAAAATATACACTATCTAATCTAAAATTATATTCACAAGAAATTTTATGTATATAAAAATGTTTAATGTGTAAATAAACATAATTAATAAGATAACATGGTAATGGTAAAAATTCTCTCTATATAATCATATACAAATAGATTAACAACAAATCAAAAATCACTGATTAATTAAGCTTCACTAGTTACTGGAAAAAGTAAATTAAGTCAAATTACTTTAATAAATACATATTTTCACATATTAATACCACCAAAATATTAAAAAGTATGATAAAATTCTCACCCTAAGTACTTTTAAATAACATTAAAAATTAATACAATCTTGTGGAGAATACACTTACAAATATAACAAGAATTATAAAGTTGATGAGAGAGACCCTAAAGATAACTCCACTTCAGCAATATAATCCAGGAAAACTGCACAAAAAAGGATGAGGAAAATGTGAGAAGGTAGAGCAAGAATAACTTAACTATGAAAAAAACAGTGAAAAACTGGAAGTAACTCAAATTGTCTGAATTCAAATAAAATGTCAATAGGACTGAGCCTTTTCTTAGCGTTAAGGTAACACTTGACTACTCAAATATATATGTAAAAATGTTACAAAAATACAAAGCATAAAATAGACACGGATTAAAATTACATAAAAATGTGCTTTTACAAGGGAGTCTAGTCAACTGGACTTTATCTATTCTTTGTAGTGAAGGAGGGATATAATATAAATATATATCCTTTAATTATTTTGATGTTCATTTTATATCATCAGGTTTATTTTTTAAAAAGTGTTTTCCTTTATGCTACCTTTGCCACAGATTGAAAGTATTTAGAGATAAATATTAATAAACATTTTTGATATTTTCAATATACCCAACATTAAACTATCTTCAAACCCACATTTGTAATAAAGTGTTAAAACATACTAAAGCAGTTATTCATGGTTTTTAACTTTTTTGGACAGGAATTAACTTCAATAAAAGTTCTAAATACAAATTAAACTGATAATACAGAAGTTCTCTAGAGAAATTTTTATCAATCTGAGAACTTTTTATCAACATTAGTGTATGAAGAGTAAAGTTTATACTTTTCACAACTGTTATTTTCTGTTATTAGCAAAAATAAGAAGAAAGGAATCATTAGATTAGATAACAAATAACATGGCCTTACTGTTTCAATTAAATATAAAGAGACATATGATGAAACCAATTTAAATATTCTTTTTACAAAGTTTAAATCATGTATCTCTAATGTCTACCATAACCCTTCCAACCTTAACTTTGTCCATGTTTCTCCATTGGCATCTTATCTGAAGATAATTTATATTTTAGTTATATGCTAAAATCAGTGTTTTACCCATTCATTTCCTTTCAGTTCACTGAGTCAGTGGTTAACAGGAGGAAACTTCCTTCCCCCAGTAAAAACATAACCTGCATTTACAGTACATATTTTAGGAGAAATAACAGAGTCAATCCACCGTCTTGGGTCCTTTACTATTGTACATTCTTTTGAAATATAACCATTATTATCTTCCTTCAAACCCCACATTGTGTTTCATTCTTGAAAATGTTGTAATCCACAGATGTTGCTTAGAGAATATATCTGCACGAATGTAATTTAATGATTTGATGTACTATTTTCTATAATCTTAAACACAGTTATGCTTTCTTTTTGCAATCAATTATTCAAAGACGCTAAGTTTGGGGATTCCCTCAATGTTCCCTTATTATTTTTAATTGTGTCCTTTTTCCCCAGAACCAGGATAGACAACTATGCTGTCCTCCACCCAATGCATCTCCTACCCCTGCCTGCAAAAAAAAGAAAGAAAGAAGGAAGGAAAGAAAGAAAGGAAGAAAAAAAAGAAAAAGAAAAAAGTCTAAACCAGGCCTCAGTTCCCGTATTTCAAGCCTGAACCAACCAGAAACCAGTTTTCTTCCACTAATCCGGAACTCCAAGCTGTTAGCAGCTCTCTCATTGGACAGCGTCAGTCCTTGGTACGTGCCCCAAGATAACCCCCTGGTTTCTCTCCCGTTCTCCCCTACAATGGGCCTTTCCAGATATCTGTAACTTGTTCAAAATCCACAATACAGCCCCTCAGATAACCAACTCACATACTTCAAAGTTTTCCCGTGAACACAAACAAGGCCAAAGAAAGAGCAATGTACCCTTCCTAGCACTCGCCGGGAAGGGGAAGGGGCTATCGGTCTTCTGCTGGACCCTGAGCATCGGAGCCCAGCAGGCTGGAGGGCTCTGAGGAGGGCTGGGGAAACTAGGTGGGGACAAAGTGGAGGAGTTAGCTTAAGTTGAAATGAAAACTTTACTCACCAGATCCTCGAAGCTTCTTCGATGCTCTTTCCCCTCCCAATCTAACCGGCGCGGAATCAGCTGGGGGGGACAGAGAAAAGAAAGGGGTGGGGGCAAGGCGGGTGGCATACGATAAGGGCCAAACCTCCACTCCCCTATAAACCCACGCAGTTTAGGTCCTTCTACGTCTTTATTTCTCAGGCAGATAATCATAGCTCTAGAGAAGAGGAGGGCGGAGTGGGGGAGGCCGAAGCTGCGGTGTGTGTGGCGTGGGGCGGGGGGGGGGGGGGGGGAAACCGCCTCCCACAGGCTTAAAGGGGAAAGAGTTAAGACCCCAGCGCACTTTCTGTCCCTTTTGAAGGAAGGAACCGGTTCAGCCCTATCGAAATAGCCCTGAGTGTCCAGATCCAAGTCTTCCTGCTGCCTGTCCTCACTCCGGACTTGCCCTCCCCTGCCTCCAGTCTTATCCCAAACCTTTCCCACCTCACCGCGAAGGGACACCATACCTGATGCTCCTCGAGCTCCTGCACTAGCACCTGAGCAAAAGGGAAACATGGATATGAGCAGCAACTAAGGCCATTGACCCGTTCCTCCCTCCCGACTGAGAACCCAGCAGCTGACGGTCAAGGCCAGCCTTTCTCTCGCCCTCAATGGAACTGCGCACCCCGCTGCCTCGATTTCCCCACTGGGACCAATCCCAGAGTCTTCCAAATCTTCTCCCTCTCACCTGTGCGGATTTGTTGCAGGGTCCGGACTGCAAGAATCTGGCAATCAGGTAATACAGTTCTGAGGAATAGGAAAAGAAAGAGGTTAAGAGGCAAAGAAGAGAAATAGAAAATTTTCAAAAGAAACTGACAACCTTCCTAAGCCCCTCTCCCCTTAGACTCCCGACACGGCTACCCACCAGCTTCGATCTGGGTAGGTGCCGCCGCCATCCTTTTCCCGAAGGGATTTGGGGATTTCGCTCCGTAGGAGCTGCGGGGGGGGGGGGTGGCGGGGGGAGTTCAGCCTCTATTGTGGTGAAGCCCCCATGCCCTGGAGTCCCGCCGCTTCCGCCACACTCCTCGTCCTAGTTTCGGTCTCTCTCGGATTCATCGCATCACGTTTCGACCCATAGATATTCTAGCCCTAGAGCCGAGGAGGCGGAGGAGGAAGGAGCTTGACGGAGAGGGGGAGGGGAGAGGAAGGGAGGGGAAAGGGGACGGGAGTGAGTGAGTGAGTGAGGAGTGAGTGAGTGAGTGAGTGAGTGAGTGAGTGAGTGAGTGAGTGAGTGAGTGACCAAGTGACTGAGTTAAGTAAGTAACTGACACGGATACAGAGACAGAAAGAGGAAGAGAGGAAGAAACGGAGGGAGGGAGGTCGGGAGGGAGGGAGGTTGGGAGGGAGGGAGAGAGAGCCAGAGAGAGAGAGAGAGAGAGAGAGAGAGAGAGGAGGGAGGAGCCGAGACTGAGGGTTGGGCGGGGGCAAAAGGGGTGGAGAGTAGGGAGGGTGAAAAATTGCGGGAGGGCCCTGCAGTGCCTGGTGTTTGCAGCTAGAGGCACTAAAGTAGTGGCCCGGCCTCGTTTCTAGGATGGCCGACCGTTGCCTAGCTACCTAGTTACCGGAAGGAGGGGCGGTTCTAACAGAAGGCCGACGACACTCTGGCCTCCAACGCGGAAACTCGGTGGTGTCTGCCTCTCACTAGGTCACTGAAATCGGTTACCTTCCTGTAAGGGTGAGCATCCGACCCTTAGAGTGGAGGGCTCCCTTCTGTTCTGTGAGATATGTGAAGAGCTGACATGAATTCAGCTTTTATTTTCCTTTTACTCAGGGCGCCTAAGAGCTTTTTTTTTATCCTCACCCCACCAAAGGGAGTCTGGCAGCTAAAAAGATCTTGTGACTCCCGGGTGGGGGTGGAAAGAAGCCCTACTTTGTCATCATTTATTTCTCTTTAAAATAATTTTTTGTACTAATTGAAAACGCTGTACTTACAAGTTCAGAGTACATTTTAAATGCAAAAATTATGATTTACAAAGTTATTCATAATTGAGTTTTACACATATCCATTTTTATAGGATAATTTTGACTGGATATTCAAATACCACCAAAATCCTTTACTTCAACCAATAATTTTTATGTATTTCATATCTATTCAAATAGCTCTTTACAGATTTGGAGCAGTTTATATTTAATATATTAGCCCAGACTCTTAGTAGACTACCAACTTTCTGTTTGGTTACTGAAATGCTCAGTGATCAAAAGATTTGTAAATTAAGTGGTACATGTTGTAAACTGAGTTTCTTTTCATTGCCAGATTTCGTAAACATCCGACTTCAAGCCTTGACCAAATAAAAATAATAAATAAAATATGAGCTTAGTAAAAACCAGAAATGGCTATTTAAGCTTCATGTGCTACTAACAATGAATTGTTCAAATGTAACATTTGAACCTTTTAAGAATAAGACCAGATTAATGGAAATGTTTTCTCAGTCAGAGCTTGAGGTAGTGGGCCTATAAATGCATGATGCTAACATAAACTTAGGTTGCCATTTTGGCCATTTTCCCCCCTCAGAAAGGAACTTCATCCAAGGTAAATATGTTGTGATAGGACTATCTTAACTTAAAAAAAGTAGATTGTCTGGAGAGATAGTACAGCAGAGGGTAAGGTGCTTGCCTTGCTCATGGCCAACTGGGGTTCAGTTTCCAGCACCACCAGAGGTGATCCCTCAGCATAGAGCCAGGACTAAGCCTTGAGCCCTGATGTGGCCCAAACCAAGGAATCACAATTAGATATATAGATACTAAAAATATGAAGTATAAAACTCATTGTAAGTGGTAAGCTCATTGTAAATACCAAACTGTATGAATTATTTTTACGTTTAAATAATGTTTTTATAGTTAAAGAACAATAATATATCATGATAATTATCACTTACCAATCAATAAACTTGTGCCAATTACTTTTCATATGTTACCACATGTAAATTGAATGTGACCCTAGGAAGAGGTTAAAAAAATAGAATAGTAGATAAAGTACTTGCCTTACCAGTGGTGAACCCCAATGTGAATCCATGGTACTTCCAAAGATGATTCCTGAGCAGAAATGAGTCCTCAGCACCTCCATCTTTGCCCCTCCCAAACCCAAAATAAGTGACTCTAGGGGTAGAATCTATTCTTAACCCCATTGAATGGATGATGAAAATGACTATGGCAGTGGACAACTCAAGTATTTAAAACTCACTTAAATACTTATTTTATAAATTCCACATATTATAAATGTAGTACTGGCCATCCTATTACACAGGGACTATTGAAAAAATCTTGTAAATATATATGTATCATGTTTCAAATTTTATAGTACATTTTTAATAATGCAAATTTTATAGGGCATTATTAATCCAGTAATCATCACTTTGGTGTGAACAGGAGAGAAAAAGCACACAATAATTTCTATAAAGATACACATATGTTAGGAATAACAGGATATTGGTGGTTATTTAGCACTCAGAGATACTGGAATAGAATATCGCATAGATATTGGAATATGGAATAGATATTTAAATAGAATATGTTATTTAAATAGAATATGTTACTTAGCACTAAGAGATATTGGAATAGAAGATTCACTATATAATAGTAAATATGATAGTTACTACTTTCACTGTTATAGAGTATCCTCAATGCCTGAACCCCCACAGTAAGCCTAAAATCTAGATTCTGTTGGAGAGGACGCAGACAGTTAAGGGTCATTAAATAGCAGTAAAGATGCTGCTTGCTGTAGACATTGTAGACAACTGTAGACAAAATTTGCTGGAACTCAAACCTCTAAAATTTGCTGAGGCTTTCTAGAAGTCCAGCCTCTGTAATCAGCCCTTCAGTGTGACTGGAAGTGTTCATAGAAAAGGGTCTCATCAGAGGCACTTTACTACAAAACCACTAAAAATAGGGCTTTAGAGAAAGTTGCTGGTTCTAACAAAACCATAGACCACAAGAGACAGGCACAGGAAAAAGCTTCACAGGCTGCAGGAGCACCCTACCCAGTGAGCATACCAGAAATAGGAAGCAAAACCCTTTCTTCCTGCAGTACCTTTCAGTTATAGCTGACGAAAGAAAAAATATTTAAATGGACCACATCCATTTTTCATACAGCAAACAATACATTATTTTTCTTCCAATTTTCTTTGATGTACTTATTTACGGGCTGGAGTGATAGCACAGTGGGTTCAATTCTTCCGCCCCTCTCGGAGAGCCAAGCAAGCTACGGAGAGTATCTCGCCCGCACAGCAAAGACTAGCAAGCTCCCCATGACATATTCAATATGCCAAAAACAGTAAAAACAAATCTCACAATTTTTTGTGAGATGTTACTGGTCCCCACTCAAGCAAATAAATGAACAATGGGAGGACAGTGGACAGTGTTACTGTGATTTACAATACTTTTAATGATACTTCCATGCATACATCATTTTAACACCACATCCACCAACAGAGTCAGAGTGCCCAGACCCCTCCTTCAAAGTCCCAAAGATCTCTCCTATCTAATCACCCTACCCAGGTAAACACATATAAGATAAGTAAAGAATCATTACACCCACCACCAACAAATGCCCATGACCCTCCACCATTGTCTCCAAGCTTCTTTTTCTCCACCTCCCCCCTCTTTGATAATTAATGCCTAGGAGTTATCAATATTCAGTACTGTTTATTTTCTTGTTTTGACTTTCCATATTCCACAGATGAATGATATAATTCTATATTTGTCCTTCACTAACTTATTTCACTGAATATGATAGTTGCCAATTCCTTCCACATTGCGGAAAACTATGTGTCTTCATCTTTTCCTGCAGCTGCATTGTATCTATTGTATAGATATACCAAAATTTTTATTGAGATTGGGGTTGGGTAGGGCCACATGTGGCAGTTCTAAGGGCTTACTCCTGGCTCTGTGCTCAGGAACACTACTAGCTGTGCTGGGGGACTGAAAATATGCCTTTGGGCATATGCGTTTCCAGGAATCAAACCAGAGTTGGTCACTTACAAGACAAGTGCTCTAACCCCTGTTCTATCTTCCCAGTCCTATATACCACAACTTTTGATTTACTCATCTATAACTGGACTTTTATGTTGTTTTCATTCCTGGCTATTACTTTAAAAAGGCTGCAATAAACATAGGTGTGCAAATATCCCTTCAAATTAATAGTTTTGTGTTTCGGTGGTAGTTGTCACATGGTAGTATTGCTGAGCTGCATGGAGTTCTATTCTCTTTCAAGAAATCTCCATTCTTCTTTCTATAGAGGTTGAACCAGATAACATTCCCAAGAGCAAATGAGGGTTCCTTTTTCACCCCCACCCCACCAACACTGGTTTGACTCCAGTTTTTTCTAAGTGCCATCACATTGGTGTGAGATTATATGTCATTGTTGTTTTGATTTCAATTTCCCTAAAAATATGTGAAAATAAGCACCTTTTCATATGGCTGTAAGCCATCCTTATATCTTCTTTGGGGAAGTGAGCTGGCAATATGTTTGAATTTAATTAAGTTATGCAACATATCGATAAACTGATATAATTTCCCCCTGTTTTCTTGACTATAATGACATTGATTTTAAAATATGCCTGTTAACATAAAAATATTTTTTCTCAGGATATGCCAAATCTTTAAAGTATTTAATACAAATGAAATCACAATTCTGGATTCTGTGACCAATAGCAATAGGGAGGGAAGAGAAATTTTCATAAACTGAAGCAAGTATGGTTGAGGAAAAAGCATAGGAAAAGTACAGAATGAATACCAAATAAGATTTTACTTTTCCAGGGTTGTCAAAACAAATTGGTTGTTTTAGAGGAAAAGAAATGTATTCCATCACAGTTCTAGAAGCCAGAAATCTGAAATTAAAACATATTCCAGATTTCACTCCCTCCAAAATTTCTAGAGAAGAATTCTTTGTATCTTCCAACTTCTGGGCACTCCTATCTTTCTTTCTTTTTTTTTTCTTTCTTTTCTTTTTTT